AAAGGAGCCTAGAAAGTTATGGGGAAAAGTCTCTGGCAAAGAATTGTTACACAGGTCAGCTGAAATTGACTGGTCTTTTAGTGAGGGTACTTTAACTTCTGAAGATATGTGGAGTGAGTTACACTCAAAGCTTAACTTAGTATCTGATATAGTTCCGACGGAAAAGAACTTTAAATGTGAGCCTTGGGCAAATTCATCCTTAAAAAGATGCAGGAAAAAGACAGATAAATGTTGGTATATTTTTGATAATAATCCTTCTTCTGAAAATCTTAATGTTGCACTGAACCAACAAGGACAGTTTGATAGTAAGTCATTTAAGTGTAAAGTTAACTATGAAAGAAAAATTACACAGTGTATGAAATATAATACAAAGCCATTTTATGCATATATTAGAGGGAAAAGAGTGTTAAAAAGTTGTGTATCATCCCTGGAAAAACCGGACGGATCTTTGACCAAAAGTAATTTTGAAACTGCCGAAGTATTGGCTGATGCTTTTGCTTCAGTTTTTGTCAAAGAACCAGATGGACCTTTGAACAGAGAATGTTATTTTATTGAGGATGAGTTACACATTGAAAATATTGAGATAACAATGGATGATGTTGGCAGAGAACTGAAAAGAATTAATATTAGTAAAAGTAAAGGGCCAGATGGCATTCATCCTAAATTATTAAAAGAACTTGAACATAATTCTGCTGTGACTAAATTATTTCAAACATGTGCTTCAAGTGGGAAAATTCCAGAACAGTGGAAGACAGCAAATGTTACATCTCTTTATAAAAAGGGTAGTCGGAAAGATGCCCTAAATTACAGGCCAGTGTCACTTACATGCATTTTATGTAAATTATATGAAAAATTAGTAAGGAGGCATATTATGAGTTTTGTTAGTAAGAAGATAAATCCAAACCAGCATGGATTTGTAGAAGGTAAATCTTGTTTATCTAATCTATTAGAGAGTGTAGAATGTATCATCGAACTGTTAGAAGATGGTGCACCCGTAGATGTGTTTTACTTAGATTTTTGTAAAGCATTTGATAGTGTTCCACATCATAGACTACTTACAAAAATGAGAAATTTGGGTATAAGTGGTAACACTTTAGATATTGTGAAAGACTTTTTATCTGGAAGAAGATTTAAGGGGGCAGGGGGCCGGGGGGGGGGGGGGGGTCTTTATGAAATTTCTCTCGAAATTGATTTTATAGTTGTTTCTGATAGAGGGGAGTGATATCTATCTGCTGCTTTTGGTCCTATGGAAAAATATTGTTCCTAGCCGAATTTATTGCCGGTCAAAGGTCAGCGCTCATGTGTAATTGTATTGCGCGAGCGATTTTCAATCGCGCGCTCTGAAAATCGAGTCTAAAAATCTATCTTCTCCTACATTTTTTGAGCAATCACTCTGAAACTTTCAGGATATGTTCTAGGGACCATTTAGAAGAGATAAGCCGGATGGAATTTTGAGATAGGCCTTTAAAAATGTTTTATTCGATTTTGAAAATCTTGGACCTCGTTTTTTGATGATTTTTCGAGGTCCAAGATTTTCAAAATCGAATAAAAAATTTTTAAAGGCCTATCTCAAAATTCCATCCGGCTTATCTCTTCTAAATGGTCCCTAGAACATATCCTGAAAGTTTCAAGGTGATTGCTCAAAAAATGTAGGAGAAGATAGATTTTTAGACTCGATTTTCAGGGCGCGTGATTGAAAATCACTCTCGCAATACAATTACACATGAGCGCTGACCTTTGACCGGCAACAAATTCGGCTAGGAACAAAATTTTTCCATAGGACCAAAAGCAGTAGATAGATATCACTCCCCTCTATCAGAAACAACTATAAAATCAATTTCGAGAGAAATTTCATAAAGACCCCCCCCCTGCCCCCCCTGCCCCCTTATTAAGACATTTGTTGGTGGAGCATATTCCTACCTTCGTGATGTTTTATCAGGCGTCCCACAAGGGTCTGTTTTAGGTCCTTTATTGTTTGTCATTTTTATCAATGACTTGCCTGATTGTATTAATGGTATATCAAAACTGTTTGCAGATGATCTTAAAGTTATTATGGATGCCAATGACACTGAAAGCACTTTCAATATGTTAGAAAGCTTGCAAAACTGGCAAAATGTGTGGCTGTTAAAGTTTAATCCTAGCAAATGCAAAATAATGCATGTTCCATTTAATGAAAATCCCCTTCAAGAATATGTATTTAGTGGTGTTACACTTGAATGTATTGAAGCAGAGAAAGATCTTGGAGTTTTAACTTCTTCAGATTTGAAATGGTCGAAACATATTAAAAGTTGTATTAGTAAAGCAAACAGTATGATTGCATGGGTTACAAGGAATCTCATTATAAGAGAAATTAATGTTATGAGAAATGTTTATAAAACGATAATAAGACCCCACTTGGAGTATTGTGCTCAGTTGTGGTCTCCACCTGCCTGCCATGGGAAGTGGGCTACTATCATTGAACTGGAAAATGTCCAGAGAAGGTTCACACGCCTTATTGATGATATTGGAACACTTCCTTACAGTGAAAGGTTGGATGCCTTACAGATTACAACACTCGCAGAGAGACGGGTTAGAGGAGATTTGATTGAAGCCTACAAAATTGTAAATGGATTGGTTGAGTATGGAAAAGATATTTTCAATTTAAGTAGATCGGGAGATAAAATTGTTAGCACTAAATCTAACAATATTGATAGAAATATTAAAACCTTGTCTAATAATTTTTTATCAGAGTGTGTTATCAGCTTTTGGAATAAATTGCCATCTTTTGTTAGAAATTCAGTGTCTGTTATTGATTTTAAAATTAATCTAGAAGAATTTAAAAAGACTAATAATTTAGTAGACACAGGCAACTTTTGGGAAGTGTCAAATATAGTTTTAGCAAAAATAGAGGGTGTAAATTATATCGAAAAGAAGAAGCAACAAGTCCAATATTTATATAAAAATCCGTGTGTTGCCAAGAGAAAGGGAATAAATATCTCATGAATTTGTTTTTATTTATTTTTTAAATTAACGGTTTTTAACTTTTTTAACTTTTTTATATGTAAATAAATTATGACAATTATGATAGTTATAGAATTTGTTTTTTTTTTTTTTTTTTTTTTTTTTTTTTTAAATTTTATTTTTTTTAAAATGACGAAGGCTGTGAAATGTTCACAGTTCTGATAATGAGGAAATCAGAAAGAATGTTTAAAACTAGTGATGATGTTTATGTCATTATTCTTAATCTAATCTAATCTAATCTTAGTTCTTTTTTAACATTATATCAATTAAAACTGACACCCAGGTGGGCACCAACAGGCAACGTTATGCTACTGCTGATACCCATAAGTCTTCATTACATATTTTCTTAAAGTATTAGTACCCTTACTGTTCATTATTCATCAATCACTGCCACAGATCTAACTGGGCATGCATTTTAACTAATTTTAACCAACTCAGGTGGCATGTTGATTATTGAACCATTGTGGGTATTTGGCTCTGTTGGATTTTGTATTGCTTGTGGCCGAAAGCAACTCTCTGAGGTCGAAAACCTGTGGACAAACAGATACTTTCTGGTGATGGTTGCAAAAATTCTCTTTTTCTTCATTCCTTTCGGAAGCTGGATTCTCTATTCTCATACTGAGTGGGAAACTACATTCTTCCTCAACAAAGGATCCAATTTACTACCAGTTGTAGCCACACTGGCAGTATTTATGCATATTATAGTAGCATTGTTAACTTATTGGTTGAACATGCAGCTTCTTAGAAAGTATGGTCCATTGATAGTGGTAAAGTTATCTATACTTGGATTTGGACTCTTCTTTTCAACTCAAGGAATGTTCTATGATACTCTGATGTACTCTGGAACATATGATGAATTTCACAGTGGAGTTACCAAGAGTTTTCTTTCATTTTTCTTGACAGAACGATTCAGAGACTCATACATTATGTTTTTTGTCTGTTTTGGACCAGTTTTTTTTGCTGTGGCCCTGAGCTTCAATGAGGTTTGTACCCATGATGAAAAGAAACAATTTGTACAAATACTGTGGAGGGAAGTGCTTGTGCAAGGTACTTTCATCTGCTTGGTGTATGTATTGATAAGCTTATCCGGTGTATCATCTCACAATTTTACTCTTTATAGATTACCAGCTGTCATTTTCATGTATTTTGTACCAAATTCTACTTTGATTTTGCCATTTCATTTACTTCTCTGGAAAGATTGATTAGTTTGTTTTGCTGCAGCTTGAATTACCAAAGTTTTTCTTATATTGATCAAATGATGGATTATTTTCTTGGTATTGAACTGTATGAATTTTGACCCATTCAAATTTTTCAGACAGTGTTCAACTATACTTGAATTGACTTAACAATTTATTTAACAATTTGCTTTACAATTTAATTTACAATTTACTTTACAATTTACTTTACAATTTACATTACAATTTACTTTACAACTTACAATTTACTTTATTTTTGGGTTTTATTGTTCAATTCTAAATATCATTTTTTTAAATGAATCCAGTTGATAAAACCTTCAAATGTTTATTTTAAGACTTTATGTTAGCTGACTATCACCTGTAATAATTTTTCCAATGGTACAGATAAATCTATATTATATAACATAAACTGCAAGAATTGTGTATATTATTCTTATTGAAAAGTATTTATTGTTTTATTGTTACCATTACTTGGCTGCCAAACAGGGACAAAAGAAAATCGTGATTATTTTGGCCAAAAATCGAGATACCGCGACAAGCCAAACAGACGACATATAAAATTTGTCGCTAAGAATGGGAAAAATCACGATCCCACACATGCCGCGATTTCCTTTTGTCCCTGCTGCCTAATGATGAAATTCTCCCCCGAGGCTCGAAGATCATTTAGGAAAATAAAACCATCTTTATTGTAAAATGTTGTAAATAAATGACTCAGCCCATCTATTCATTTCCCACTGCCTTCCACTCCCTGGCCCAAGTTAAGGAAATAATGATAACAAAATCCATGACAAAATTATCATATTTAGGGATGAGGCTGGTAAGATTTCTGCTGCGTTACTACCCTCCGGGTATCATCCTGGAGTATGAGCAGGGCAGTCAGACCAGGACGAGGACTATCGACCTACTGGATCTTACCGAGCGCAGTAATATCTACGAGCTTGTTGCGCAGCTTCAAGCAAATGAGCCACTCATTACTCCGTCCAAAACAGATCAGGTTACACTTTTAAACCTGTAAATTTAAAGCTATTGGTGACTCCTGTAAATTGCTGTTTAGAAAGTTTCTAGTATAATATAAGAAGCTCTGAATTACGCAGAATTACGTAACTTATTTCAGGTAGCTAAGCTGCTCCTGAAGCTGCAGTCGAAGCTCTCTTCACCAGACAAGCACCATTACAACCACTACAAAACTATTCGTACTCACGTCCTCCCTGTCACTAACGTTAGCTTCAACAAAAGTGGATCCAAATTCGTGTCAGGTGGGTTTTCAATTTTCATGATCTCAGTTATTAAAAGTATGATCAGATTGTAGTTGTTAGTGTTAAAAATTGAATTGGAAGTTGAATTAACTTTGAGTTTACAACTCTACCCGCGACCTTGAATTTAGTGCCAATATAGCTCGACTCCTAATTATAATTGTCTTCGTGACAAGCTATCCAATCAGAAAGCTGTATTCTAATCACATGACACAAACAAACCAATCAGAAAGCTGTATTTACGACCCACTCAGGTAGTTACGACCGCACATGTAAGATATGGGACACCCACCAAGGTCAGGAGCTCCATGTGTTAGACGGACACAAGAACGTTGTGTACGCTGTTGCTTTCAACAATCCCTTCGCAGACAAGATTGTAACTGGATCCTTTGACAGGTCCGTGTGTTAAATTTAGGGATTTTAAATTATTAGTGATTAGTCTAATTAGTGATCGTAATTAAATTAATTAAACTCTTAGCCATTAAAACTGTCCCCATCAGGACTGCTAAGTTGTGGAGTACAGAGACAGGGAAATGTTACCACACCTTTAAAGGGCACACTGCTGAAATAGTGTGTGTCACATTCAACAGTTCCAGTACCTTGGTAGCTACGGGGAGTATGGATACTATGGGCAAGATATGGGATGTGGAGACTGGGGTTGAGATGGCTTCTTTACAGGTGGATTAGCTCGTCACGTGGTGTTAATTCTTGACACGTGGTGTTAATACTTGACACGTGGTGTGAATACAAGACACGTGGTGTGAATACTTGACACGTGGTGTGAACTGTGAATACAAGACACGTGGTGTGAAAACTTGACACGCGGTGTGAATACAAGATACGTGGTGCGAATTAGCGTGTCACGTGGTGTGAATACTTGACACGTGGTGTTAATACTTGACACGTGGTGTTAATACAAGACACGTGGTGTGAATACAAGGCACATAGTACGAATACGGTATATCGGGGTCCCGGTGATCATTGTGCTCGCTCTTTGTGTTTGCCGCTCTAGAATATCTTATTTAAGCTATTAAAGTACTGATTTCGTGGGGTGGGTGGTGTTTGTTATATTAGACAAAATACGGCAAAAGGTTTCTGGTCCCTCAATTATACCATATTCGTAGGTTTCATGAGTTGAATCATACCCTATTTAACATATTGAAACTTAGATTCCTGTTTACACACGACGACTCACTCGTTCGCAAAGGAACTGATCTCAATATAATTTTATTGTACACCCAAATAAATTATTTGTCGACTTCAAAGTAAGCATCGAATTTTTCTTCCAACCGAAAATGGGCCAATGATAAGAAAGGCGTCAGAAAATCAACAAAAAATGATATACTTCATGACAGGAAACACGTGACATAACTTAACACGTGACGTAACTTGACACGTGACATAACTTGACACGTGACATAAATTAACACGTGACATAACGTGACTACTTGCTGTTTCAGGGCCACAGTGCGGAGATAATCTCAATACAGTTCAACAGTCTTGGAGACAAAGTGGTAACGGGCAGTTTCGACAACACCGTCGCTATCTGGGACGTGGAAACTGGTCACAAAATCTCCTCACTGATTGGTTAGTTTATTTTATGCTGCCAGCTGATTGGTTCCGTGCTGTCACGTGTCAAACCGAACATTCATCAGCTCATGATTACCGTAATTTATATTCAACAATCAACAAAAACTCGCGAAATCTGTGAGTTTTTAACACGTTACTAATTTGAAGGACACCGAGGTGAGATCTCAAACGCGGTGATTAGTTACGATGACACTCTCATTGGCACAGGATCCATGGACAAGAGTTGCAAGGTAAGTAACTTACTTAATTATTAACTTTGTTTATAAACATATATAAACAAAATATTGTCGTATAAATACGAATATTGTTAGCCATTTTATACATCCAATCCAAAACCTTGAATATTTCAGTCAATTAAATTTAGGATGATTCTGAATGTGTCTTGTCTGATTAGCAACTAATATGTTTTTAGTTAAGAAAAGTTCCGGTTTGAAGAACCATCTCAACTCTCTATTAATGATCTCTTTCTTTGAAAAGGAACTTTAATTTTTGTAGCGAGCTTCAACCTTTTAAAGGATGCCCTCTTCCACAATTTAACATCTCAGTTGTTATACTAAAAGAAACATTTTCTTGCAATATTGAAAAATAAAAATACCGTGCATTGCATTCAATATCTCAATTTAAATGTTCTGAAATAAAAAGGTCTTAAATGATATCTTTAGAAATATTGTCGTCACATATTCTGCAAATATAAAATATCGCTTATAACTTATAAGGTTTGCGGTGATATAAAAAATAAATAAACCCTGATATTAGTTAATTGAATATGAAAAAATAATCTTTGCTATAACACAACATCTTTGCGTATAGAATTCGCTCCAATAGCTGTAAAGGTCCTCTCATAACTCTTAAAATGTTGCAAGAGTGGTCCTACTCTATTCGTGTGTTCGAGTAGAGGCTGGGCGTTATCTTTTCTTTGTGACTGTGTTTTTCACTGAAGGAAGTAATTCGGGTTAGTGAGTATCCAGGGGGTAACAAAACGGAGAAGATAATCAATAATTGTAAATGAGAGTAGTTTCATACTGAAATTGTTAATCTCTGTACCTGTTTTAAATCTTCTCAACTAGCTCCCGGATACATCTTTTGAACTGTCCTCCTCTCAGACTCCCGCTCCACTAATCCTTTACTTGTCCGTACTTGTGTTCTGGCCTCACTTCAGACTCCTATCAGTACGACACATTCCGGAGACTACACACCGATGATTTACTGCTTTGTTGTTAATGACATTATTTCCCTCGGATGGATTTTAATTAATAAGCAAAAGTACAATAATGTAAGCAAAAGCATAATAATATAAGCATGGCCCCCACCCTGTATCATTCTCTCTTAGCCCCCCCCCCCCCCCAGGCCCCCACCCTCTATCATTCTATCTTTTGCCCCCCCGGCCCCCACCCTGTATCACTCTCTCTTTTGCCCCCCTGGCCCCCACCCTGTATCACTCTCTATCTTCTCAGGTATGGGACTGTAGGTCAGGACAGTGTGTTGAGACACTGTACGGGCACACTGACGAGGTACTTGACATTTCGTTCGATCACAGGGGAAAACAGCTGCTCTCTGTTTCTGCTGATGCTACAGGTATGTTTTAAAATAACAATATTTACTAATATTGTAAATCCAAGAAATTAAATTGAAGCAATTTGATTGTTAAACAGCTACGAGTTAAATTTATACTGCGTTTAGCTTCGTATTGTATGTATGTAGTATAGAAACATTACTGGGTGTAGGTTTATGCATTTATGAAATATATCACATGTATAACTAAATTAAAGGCTAAAGTTCGTCTCAAACACTTTTCTCTAACCAGCCCCCTGTTTTAGCCCGAGTATTCGACGTTGGCTCCTACAAGTGTTTGGCCACGTTTGTGGGCCACGAACGTGAGATCAGTAAAGGAACGTTTAATCCTAGCGGTAAACGTGTTGCTACTGCCAGCAGTGATAAAACTGTCAGGATATGGGATATAAACTCAGGGAAATGTTTACAGGTTTGTACTTTAATTAGGTTAATTAAGTAGGTTGATTAATTGGGTTAATTAAGTAGGTTAATTAATTAGCTAGTGGATTCATTGTCGTGTTGGCAAGAATGACTAGTTATGAACACTATTTCCGTTAAAAATTCAATGAGTTCGTTAATTCAAAGCCATTAATTGCAGTTATCAGTATTAATGACATTTCAGATGTGTTACATGTGAAACTCTGTTTCATAGTGTATTGTAAAATGTAACATTTCACACGATTTTACGCAATGCGTGTTCGAAGCAAGCAATAATTCTAATTTTAGATGAGCACGTTATACATTTTACATGTATTATGATATAATATATAGAATTTTCGAGTGCCCTGCCTTGCATGGCAACTCGTAAACACATCTTGCACGAATTCTATTACTCAATCAATGTGTTTAAACTATGTGGTGTAGAGCTCGTATTGGTTCGTGTCAAGAACTCGTTTTCAATAGGATTGAATGAAAGAAATTGTTAGATAATGAAGATGGGCCGGGGGGGGGGGGGGGGGATTGAAATTGGGAATGGTTTAAGTATGAGTAATTATCGTAGTGCTCAAGTGGAACTAATATTGATTATTGAGCTCTGGAAAGGTAGAAAAAATGTGTCTGATGTGGGAACACTCTTATTTGTTTGTAAATCTGCATATTAAATAGATAGATATAGATAGATCTTAGAAATTTCGAGAGTCTTGAGGAAAATGTACTAACTTGAGGACAATGTACTAACTTGAGGAAAATGTACTAACTATGCTATTTCTATTTTCTGCCAAACAGTCTATGTAAAGGCTGAACCCTTGCTCTGGGAATTAGTGCACATCGAATACTACTATATTTCAATCTATCTGGAATAAAAGGAGAAAGTCGCATCTAAGAACAGATTTTGAATGTTGTAAATGTTTCAGACGTTGGAAGGGCACACAGACGAGGTGTTCAGTTGCCAGTTTAACTACTCGGGTGATATGCTGATAAGTGGTAGTAAAGACAACACGTGTCGACTGTGGAAAGATACGAACTCTGGAAAACTTGCCGGTGCTTTATAGGATTTGTCTTTCAAGGTTTTGTGAAAGACTGATGCGGTCAGCTACCAATTGCTCGGAAATTGCGAGTTGGACTTTCTGTACCAAACTGTACCATGGTACAATATTTGACGAAAGTCAATTATCTTGAGATCCTACTGATAAATTTTCTTTAAACTTTCCAGATAGTTGTATTGCTATAGGACGGATAATCTGAGCAAGTTTGGGCGAATTTCTATGTGCCAAACTTGAGATATGACTTCAAACACAAGAAAATATCTCAAATTGGTACAATATTTGACGAAAGTCAATTATCTTGAGATCCTACTGATAAATTTTCTGTAAACTTTCCAAATAGTTGTATGGTTATAAGACGGATAATCTGAGCAAGTTTGGGCGAATTTCTATGTGCCAAACTTGGGATATGACTTCAAACACAAGAAAATATCTCAAATTGGTACAATATTTGACGAAAGTCAATTATCTTGAGATCCTACTGATAAATTTTCTTTAAACTTTCCAGATAGTTGTATGGCTATAGGACGGATAATCTGAGCAAGTTTGGGCGAATTTCTATGTGCCAAACCTGAGATATGAGTTCAAACACAAGAAAATATCTCAAATTGGTACAATATTTGACGAAAGTCAATTATCTTGAGATCCTACTGATAAATTTTCTTTAAACTTTCCAGATAGTTGTATGGCTATAGGACGGATAATCTGAGCAAGTTTGGGCGAATTTCTATGTGCCAAACTTGAGATATGACTTCAAACACAAGAAAATATCTCAAATTGGTACAATATTTGACGAAAGTCAATTATCTTGAGATCCTACTGATAAATTTTCTTTAAACTTTCCAGATAGTTGTATGGCTATAGGATGGATAATCTGAGCAAGTTTGGGGGAATTTCTATGTGCCAAACCTGAGATATGAGTTCAAACACAAGAAAATATCTCAAATTGGTACAATATTTGACGAAAGTCAATTATCTTGAGATCCTACTGATAAATTTTCTTTAAACTTTCCAGATAGTTGTATGGCTATAGGACGGATAATCTGAGCAAGTTTGGGCGAATTTCTATGTGCCAAACTTGAGATATGACTTCAAACACAAGAAAATATCTCAAATTGGTACAATATTTGACGAAAGTCAATTATCTTGAGATCCTACTGATAAATTTTCTTTAAACTTTCCAGATAGTTGTATGGCTATGAGACAGATATTCTGTGCGATTTTGGGGGAATTTTTATGTGCAAAACCTGAGATATGACTTCAAACACAAGAAAATATCTCAAATTGGTACAATATTTGACGAAAATCAGTTATATTGAGCTCCTACTGATAAACAAAAATGTTGTGAAAAAATGGAAATAACATTTAGATGCTTCCTCCTCCTCCTCCTCTTCCTCCTCTTCCTCCTCCTCCTCCTCTTCCTCTTCCTTCTCCTCCTCCTCCTCTCATTCATACCCCTCCTCCTCCTCCTCCTCTTCCTCCTCCTCCTCAGTCTTCCTCCTCCTCAGTCATCATCCTCCTCCTCCTCCTCAGTCTTCCTCCTCCTCAGTCATCATCCTCCTCCTCAGTCCTCCTCCTCCTCCTCCTCCTCCTTTTCCTCCTCCTCCTCCTACTCCTCATCAGTCCTCCTCCTCTTCCTCCTCTTCCTCCTCAGTCATCCTTCTCCTCCTCCTCCTCCTCCTCCTCAGTCCTTCTTCTCCTCCTCTTCCCCCTCCTCAGTCTTCCTCATCCTCCTCATCCTCCTCCTCATCAGTCCTCCCCTTCCTCCTCCTTCCCCTCCTCAGTCCTCCTCTTCCAGTCCTCCTCCTTCTCCTCCTCCTCCTCCTCGTCAGTCCTCCTTTTCCTCCTCCTCCTCCTCATCCTCCTCTCCCTCCTCTCCCTCATCCCCTCTTCCTCCTTCTCCTCAGTCCTCCTCAGTCCTACTAGAAATTCTACAAAAATCGCACAGATTATCTGTCTCATAGCCATACAACTATCTAGAAAGTTTAAAGAAAATTTATCAGTAGGATCTCGAAATATGTGCCTGCGTTCCGCTAGAAACCGCCAATTTGTGATATTTTCTTGTGTTTGAAGTCATATCTCAAGTTCAACACATAGAAATTCTACAAAAATTGCACAGATTATCTGTCTCATAGCCATACAACTATCTAGAAAGTTTAAAGAAAATGTATCAATAGGATCTCGAAATATGTGCCTGCGTTCCGCTAGAACCGCCAATTTGGAGATATTTCCTTGTGTTTGAAGTCATATCTTAGGTTTGGCACATAGAAACTCGCCCAAAATCGCGCAGAATATCTTTCTCATAGTCATACAACTATCTGGAAAGTTTAAAGAAAATCTATTGGTCAGATCTTGAGAAAATCAAAAATATATTCTAAGTTATTCACTAAAACACTCGATTTTCGACCAATCCATATGGTACAGTTTTGTCGAAAGTCCTTCTGGAAATTGCCATTTTTTGGGACATTTCCGCGCGCGCGGTAACATCTATGGTAGTTTCGTTGCGCGCACGTACCGTCTTTTTGAAGCGAAGATAACGAACAGCTTAATTAATGGCCGGATCGATTAAATCTGGTTGGTTACAAAATCTTGAACATTGAAGAGTAGGCGCTTTGTTTTGGCTACCATGTTGACCATGGAATAACAACTTTTCAGTAATATCTGGATTGTTATATCAGTGTTGAAATCAGTTGTTTAACATTAATTTTATAGAATATATCCAGATATCACACATTCTATCAGATCAGTTTAAAGGTTAAATTCAAATCAGATTGTTGAAGGGCTGTTTCAGATATTTTATCTATTTATACCACACCAACATGTAATTAAATGTTATTATAGTGTTTATAGATATTTGTTTTCAAACTTGTACTTCTTATTTGAGTCCATCATTCATACCGAAAATGTACTCACAAATAATGAAACCCATAAATATATGTACTTGCATAGTGCATACATTCAGCTGAAACAAAGCAATCCCTCTATCTTCTTGTTGATATAGGATGTCTCCCCTCCTGTATTTCCTCCTTCTGATAAGCCCTTTATTGGCGGTCCACACAAACAACTGGGTGGTGATAGCAGATGCTAGCCGGTATTGGTTTAACTATAGACATGCTGCTAACGCTCTCTCAATCTACTACTCTGTTAAACGATTAGGTGAGTTTTATCTTCCGTTTACTTTTACTGGTTATTGTTGAATGTGAATGGACTTTATTTTAATGTATATAATATGTGCCAGTTTAATGAATTGAAGCTGAATTGAGAGAAAGGCCATCATAAGCACCTTCTTAGCCCCTCATAATAACAACCTATTCTCAGGTATCCCAGACAGTCATATAATTTTGATGTTATCTGACGATATGGCTTGTAATCCTCGTAACCCAACTTCCGCTCAGGTGATTAATTCATTGGATAATTAATTATTTAATTAATTAATTAATGTTGGAAACCTGTTTTGAACACGGAAAGCCTTTTTACAATGGATGTGCCTGAATATTCGGTACAGGTCTTCCTTTAAAAAATCATGAAGTCAGTTTAGTAAATCTCCGGGAATATTGAAATTAACATACATTGTTAATTCAGGTGTTTAACAACAGAGATAGACACGTTCAGATATACCCTGACGATGTGGAGGTAGGTGTTACCTTGGCAACATTGCCATATATAGCTTGAAGTTATGAGGACTGTTTAGGGTCTACTTGTAGACTTATTGTAGATTTTACCTTTGTATGGCAGTTTAACCATGGTTACATTACCAAATAAGGAAGGAACACAATGACACCCCCAATCAGGTAGATTACAGAGACTCGGAGGTTACCGTAGAGAACTTCTTCAGAGTACTCACTGATAGGCTACCTGAGGGGACCCCGAGTTCTAAGAGGCTTATGAGCGATGAGAATAGTAACATTCTCGTGTATATTACTGGTACGTGTAGTTACTGTAACTAATGGATGTACACTGATTACTGTGTATCGTGTAGCAACTTTAGTGACATGGTATAACTTATGATGAATTCCAAAACTCTTTCCAATTGTCCTCATTAGTCGGGGTTTGCCTTACCAGACGAGTATTCTCCAAATTCTGATAAACATAGAATGGTTTTCTCGCCATTATGATTTGTAACGTATCTCTATCTCCCAGGACACGGGGGTGACGGATTCCTCAAATTCCAGGATACCGAAGAAATGAATGCTTTGGAACTTTCTGATGTCTTCCAACAGATGCACGAGAAGAAGAGGTATGGTTAATGTTTATATTTGGCTTAGTATAGTTTTTAAACATATAATGTATTTCAGAGGTATTCGAGTTGATATTGAAGCGCATTTTATTTCTTCTGATTCGTATCTTCCATTTATACAATCCCTTCGCTGCACATGTTCTGTTTGCAGGTATAACGAGCTGTTCTTCATGATAGATACATGTCAAGCAGGATCAATGGTTCTCCCTATCAAGTCTCCCAATATCATTGGAGTAGGTCAGTTCAAACTGGTAATCTGTTATTAGCTGTGTTCTTTCTTTGTTACTACCTCAAACTATTTGAACGTAAGCATTGTGAAGTAAAGCCAAAATTCACGACCAAATGTTTCTTCAAAACTTTGATATACATTTTGATTACTTGAGCGTGGGCAAAGCCGCCTCCTCGGATCATTTAAAAACTAAAACTATTTTCTCACCAGGGTCCAGTACAGTGGGCCAGGACTCGCTCTCACATCACGGTGATAAAGAGATAGGGGTCTATGTAATTGACAGGTTCACTTACTTTACACTGGACTTCCTTGAGAAAGTACAACCGAACAGCAAGGCAACTCTAAGTGACCTTTTCAGGTTGGGGTTAATCTGAAATTGAGATTTCTTCAAAACAAAACAAAACGTTTGGATTAGTTTTAGTTTTGGTGTGGTTTTGAGTTTGTCATTTCAATGTTTCTTCAGCTCTAGTTAAATTACTTTTTTTTGTGTAGTCCCCGAAGACTAATTCAGTCAGGCGTTGCTAACCAATAAATTTTCCAGGGTTTACTCCACAGCAGAGATAAGATCCACTCCGCAGTACTCCAACTTAAACCTGTTTAAAACCAGAAAACCAGGTGATGTCCTCATAACTGATTTCTTTGGTAGTGTGCGACAAACCGTGCTGTTCGATCAGCAGGTTGCACCACTAAATAGGACTGCTGTGTCGGACGAACTGAAGGTTAATGATGGGAATTTTGAGGTTCAGTTGGAGGCTGTGTCTCAGTTACCTTTCTGATGGAAATATTTTAGATTTCTCAGTTAAGCTGAGCTGTCTAGGTGTTGCTACATTTCACCAATATTTATAGTTTTTTTCTTTATTGGTCCATTTGAAGATTTTAAGTTTGGCTTTTATATTTTCGTTTTGACTGGTATTATCTATCTTCTTTGTTTCGGAGGAAATGTTTTACATTATTATCAGTTTTGATGCTATTATTTATTTCACTATAATTCACAATTTCATATTTCTGTAAGAAATGGTTTTGTTGTTTTACAGAAATGAACTCGCCTTAACAGTGAGTATAAATTAAAGTGCTCACTAAGACTACATTGTCGTAATGTCGTTGCTAACATTTGTTTACTATTTAAACTTAATTCTGGGTTTAATTTTTATCAAATCATTCCAATTCCAAACAAAATATACAAAAATTATCCGAGAATCTCCATACTGGTTAAAATTCATCACATTTGGCACTCGAGATGAAGACGTAGTGGTGATGGGGTTGTTTTTATTGTTGTTGTTGACATAGTGCTACTCGCCACTTAGGCCCAGGATCATTATTATATATAAAGCCGGACTTCTAGACAAGGTGCTTGGTTGTGGGACACACTCAACTAAGTAAAGTTGAGACACCTCAAATCTCCCTATATAGATATCAACAGATATGCCTGACTAACCTGTGAATAGTATAGAGTTCGCCCGACTCTATGAGTATGGCAAACATTATCTTCTGAGTTGTTGAGATTCTGAGTATCCTTTGTCAGTGGTGCTGGCAGCTGACGGATGTTTGTATCACGTGGTGACCCCCACGGTCGCTTCACTATATCGTCTTCGACGATACAGGGGGAGCCGCGCACTTCGTGCGCGGCGGGTCATACAACGTATGACAACGTATGACAAACCGCGTATGACAAACCGCGTATGACAAACCGCTCCTACTAAATCGCTCGCCCAAATTTTAAGAAAATTCTTGTGAAAAGGCCCTTTAGGCATGAAAGTGATCTAAATCGGTGTATTTTTGGACGCGGTATTTTTGGACGGTGTATTTTTGATCGGTGTATTTTTGGACACTGATTCCGAATCACCCCCCATGACGTAGGGTTAAAATGCTTCCCTAGAGAGTTATGGGCAAAAAACCGTTTTGGTCACGTGACAGGCTAGTAAAACGTGAATTCGATTATTTAGGGCTCGGGTTAGTGTTAGGGTTGTGGTTAAGATTATGGATAGCTTCGGGGTTATGGTTAGGGTTAGGCCTAGGGTTGGGATTAGGGTTATATAGTCAATAGTATTAGTTATAATGTATAGTATTAGTTAACTTATGCTTTAACAAATAATTTGAGGTATGGCGGCTGGGTTCAGAGTTTTATCCGACAAGTACGTGACAGCTCTCTCCAGTCACGTAGGATCGAACTGTCGGTGAAGTTGCTGCTCTTTTAAAATTTCGTCGTAAAAGAGGACAAGAAACGACAGCTACAGTATTAAATCGTATAGTCGGTCTCAACTTTAGATTCGAGCAATGAATTTATGGTTAGGTTCCGAGTGGAATGAGTCTATTTGGCATAGCCCTCCGGACGACACAAAACATTTCGAGCGGGCAGCGAGCTTGACTGATTCGACTGATACCATAGTAACACAATCTTATAATATGGCAGTGTTACCATGGTAACATTACCTTATATGGTAGGATCTCCATGCTCCCCTAATTGTACTATTACTAGCTACAACAGGAAGTACAGGTACCCACTTATTAGTTCCTCAGTTTATTACATACCACTATCAAGCCCTCAGCTCAGATTGGTTTGTCCGAGTCACGTGACTATAATGCAGCTCTCTGATTGGTTAGCTTGTTCGGCTTTGTTCCCAATTAACCCCCCTCTATAGTGTAAACGTCACAGTGTGTGATATGTATGATATATATGTGTAATTGGTTTACTATTATGAATATTTTAATCTGCACTTTATTATTTCATTGTATAGCAGCGCAGTGGAGCAGCTATTGCCTAGCCTTCAAATTCATGCAGCCACAACAAGTTGGTTAGTTGTTTGTATACCTTATTGTCTGAACCGGGTTCAACCTAAATAAGCAATAATAACATAAACCCGCCACGCAAAGGGTTTATATAACAGATCATCCCGCGCTAGCGGATAAACACATACGAGTGCGCGCAGCGCACAAGTTTTGTGTTAATATGTAATCCCGAAGCGCCAGCTGAGGGATTACATTTATTTAGCCCTGAGCGTGAAGTGTTTATGGATTATAATTATCTCCGGCGATTTCGACAAGGGATTTATACTTTAGAAGAGAGTGAACACGATTGGAAAGCAGTTCATCAATCTGAATGTCAAACCGATCTGTCATAGTGGAGCAATAGCTTGAACGTTAGCAGGAACAAGAGCTGGAAGGAGAGCAAGCAAAACAATACTATTTTTAGGGCACGGACAAGGGTAGCTGGCTAGTCGCCAACTTCTCACGCCACGCGTTGGAGAAATTCCAAGAATTAGCTGCTTTGGCAACGTTCCCAGGAATTTGCGTGTAAAAGAAGTGGACGGTTACGATGTTTCATATCACGTGGTGCGCTTTCGTGTCACGTGGTAAAGACTCGGCGTATGCTATTGGTGGCACGTGG